AAAATGGTATTCATAGTTTTGTCTTTTTAATTCGCATAGAAAAAAAATCTCTGTTATTTTTTGTTCGTCTAGCTTAAAGATCTTGCATTCTTTATGTGCATTATTTTTATTGTTATGGCTGGTTATGGTGTTGCTTCTCGTTCAATGGTTCACTATCCAAATGCTAATAAATTGAATGTAACTGATTTCAGCACTGAATTTAATGGTCGAAGTATTTTTCGTCAAATTGCATATCCTATTTATTATTTAATGTATGGAGAATTTGGTAATGAATTATCTACTCTTGATGGTAAGTAAATAATATAGATATATCAAGTGATTTATCAGTCTTCAACGAAAAAAAAGTCTGTTTGTTTTTCTTTTATATGAGAATAAATTGGATTTCATGAAGAGTTTCAATCAGCTTAATTGAGTAAATTTTTTAATAGAAATGAATGTAAGCAAGATATTTTTGCTACAAAGGCGCAACAACGTTTGTCGATTGTTGTTGGTACATCAAGTCAATGTGAAAAATAGTCTTCCTATAACTATCATTATAATAACATTAAATATGTATTGAGTCAGAGAAGAAACCTACTTGTATTAGGATTTTGAATGATCAACATAATCCATTAATATTTAACATATAAATTTTACCCTATTATATTAGTCTCATTGTGATTAGGAAAAAACCTAAAAGAATTTGTGTTTATAAGTTTTTCTTCAGCTATGATCATTTTAGTGACTTTTTCAACAAAGTAATATGCGGCATACCGATGATAGTACGGACAAACGTGCAACATGGGAAGATGTTGATTTAAGGACATCTCTTTCCTTTCCCGTATTTTTCAAGAATGGCTCAACCAAAAAAGATGAAGCTTTCAGGGTAGACAGATCTTAACTAGTAGAGTAAAAAGTTGTCATAGACTCAGAATTTCCAGATTCTTCCTTAGATATAGGGAACACAAGTGTTAAAAATGGCCTGAATTTTCCCACAAACAGCCAGAAGTCATTTTTTATAGCTGAATTTTTTTGCAGCTACTAGGACTAAATCAGGATGTATGTGTTTCCTTTCTTTGAAAAATATTGTTTCCTTTGCTTGGGAGAATTAAAATACTAGTAGTCCTGTCAAACAGTGTACTTTTCTTCCCCAGGGAAAATTTTGTAGGATCTGCCAAAAACTACTAGAACACTATTTTAAGAAAAAAAACTATACACTCCAGTTTGGTCCTAGTTGTCACACAAAAACTTTCAGCTCAATCGGCCAAAGTGTCTAGGGAACAACTTCAATTTTTCTCTAAAAAAGTTGATT